GAACTTTCCTCCATGGGGCGGGATAGTTAGCATGTCCTGCGCTGTAGTGGTCCTATGTGCCTCAGAATGGCCAGTGACCAAGGAATAGCATGGGCAGTGCCATCCAGAAGGGGAACATACCATGGGTACTCTTTAGTAGGTTTATTTTGCTTGAATGGGTCTCCACACTCTGGTGGAGTGTGGAAAAAATCTTTGTTCTTGAAGACCTCTTCCTCCCTGCTGGAAAGGTGGGAAGGAGTTATGGGGGACTGGCAAAAATGAGGTTGTTGCTCTGGTGACAAATTTACCTCCAAGAAAGGAGATTCTGGAGAGGGAGGAATTGTTTCTGAACAGAGCCAAATCACATTGTGTGTACTGGCGCGGAGTGGGATTGCGGTGCCGTGCTGAGATGAGGTGGTTCTGGCACCATGGCAGCTGAGGAGACTATTGATGCAGTGTGAGTGAGCACTGTGTGTTGTTGCAGCACTGAGCGAGCGGGTGGCATCGCTGGCATGCAAGACTGAAGCGGGGCAGCAGGATCAAAGGTACGCGCGGCTCCTACTGCTTGAAGGCTATCTGTAACAGAAACTAATTAACTAAATCTCTCTCTACATATAAAAAAACCTTTTCCTGTGGGACGACAGAGTGACATCACAAGCCCGGACCATATGACTGGTCTGTGAATGGGGGGGGGGGAAGAGTGCAAGGATGGAGTCACCTCCCTTGAACAGCATCCGCCTCTGTTTGGGCCCTACCCACAGCCTGCCTAGCCCATGCGCCTACCGTGCAGCTTTACTCAGTGCTTGGGGGCCATGCTGCACATCTCCCCCCGAGCGAGCAGCTCCAGCATGTGCCGGTGACCTGGGCCAGGCCTTTGGCTCAGGCGCGCTCTCTTGGGAGTTCTGTCTCCACGTGCCGCCTAAAGCGACATCTGCCTCTGGGCCCTGCCCACGTGCCTGCTGGCCTATTAGGAAAGGCTGGGCTGGGGGGCATGGTTCCCTCTGAGGCGTGCACCTGTGCAGGCGCACACCAAAAATGTGCCCCCCACCCATCCCCTCAGAAGAGCTGTGCAGTGGGTGGCTGCTCAGCCCCAGGAACAGCAGGGCAACTACCACGCGACCCTGGCCCTAGCTTTAGTCCTTCCCCAGGGCCAAAGCCAGATCTGCATGGTGGGTGGCAACTGCCAGAGCCTGAGTTGTCTCATGCGGGCTGCTGCTCCGGATGGGGCCAGAGCTGGAAGCCACATGGTGGGCAGCACAGCCTCAGCTAGGGCTAGAGCTGGAGGCTGTGTGGCAGGTGGCGGTTGCTCCAGCGGCCCCGGCTGGGGTAGGAGCAGATGGCTGGGGTGGTGGGAGAGCCGGGCCTGGCCCAGGATCAGCCCTGTCAACATCTGGGAGGTGGGGGGGAGCAAAGCTTGTGCTGGCCTGGCCTTGGCTTGGCAGCCAGCAGGGATGGAGGGTGCAGTTGGGGCTGCTGTGCTTTGGCCTGGCCCTCCCTGGCGGCCGGGGGGAATGTCGGCGCTGCCTATCCCTGGAAAGAGGGGGGTTGGTGAGCTTAGCAAGCCTGGGGACAGCCCCCGAGTAAGTATGTCTCTACAAGAAACTATGTTGCAGAGGTGAACAGCATGACCGCTGTACTCTGTCTCTGGTCAGGGGCGGTAGGGAAGGAACTGAGCAGCTCAGACCATGTGCATACTATTTACACACTGAAACCTCATGAGGCAGGCAGAGTGCGCTTATGCTTTGTGGGGAAGGGGTACTGCTGTAGGAATCTCCAATCAAGGATGTACCTTGACCCGAGTGGAGCACCCACAGGAATGTCTCCCGGAGAGTTATTGTATTTACTTTTTTTATCTGTGTCTTTTAATGAACAGCTGAACTTTGGTCATGTATCATTCAACACTCTTCTCTCCTCCTGAAGGACAGATAAAGGTAGGGTCCTATAATGCGTATCTTAGTTCACCTAACAGGATCAGTGAGCAGAGACCAATCTATTTCCTTAGGTTCTATTTCCCTAGACTTAGTTCTTTAGCAAAGGGGCTGTCTTTTCGTTCTGTGTTTGTACAGAGCCTAACATAATGGAGTCCTAGTCCATGTCTAGAGTTACTAGACACTATGGTAATATAAATAAATATATATCGAGTGGTCCACAGAATGCTTGTGCTGAACACTGGATCTCACCTCTCTCTTCATAGAGATCTGTAGAACTCCTCATATGTCCACGTTTATTTTCTATCTTCAGTAGAAAGAAGGATCAAACTGACAGTAATAGACAATTTGGGCCTGATCCTGTTAGATGCTAAGAACTCCCTGGGAGATGCTAAGCACCCTCAAGTTCCATGCGTTTCAATTGGATTTAAGGGCTCTCAGTACCATATAGAAATACACTACCTATTTATGAGTATTCCTGAGGTCTTTCCCCAGTGAAGATATCCAATTCCCTGGTCCTGTCCCAAGTGGGTGGAAATGCCACTATTCTCATTTATTAGTAGCCATTTTTATTTGCACTTTCTTTACATTTGTGTAAAAGACTCCACAAGTGCAGAGCACTGAATAGGAGGCCCTATACCATTTTTCTCTCTTCTTCTCTCTCCCTCCCCCCACTTCCACCTCTTCCATCTGAACTAAAAGCCAGCTAGACTGAAGGATACATATTTTGCTCTTTGTATGTGGGAAAACAAAACAGATGGTCTCAGTCTATAGGACAGGTGTCCACATCACAAAACTGTCACTACAAACAACACCGTTGCTGGAAGTCTCGGCCATACCAGCCAAAAATCTTCTGAAGGGAAAAATAAAAATACCTTGTAAATTTGCATAGCTTTACCTTCTTTTGCACAAATTCAGGTGCAAATCATCACAAGCACATGCCATCCTACTTTAAAGTTATGCTGGAAAGAACTATTACTTGGAAAGATGCATTTTACAGAACCTGGAATGCTTGTTAAATGTTATACATAATAACCGTCCACTGTGTAAATAAATTTAAAAAGCCCTGTCATGCCATATTTCCATTCTTCTTCCGACTGTCATACGTAGTGACAAGTTCTAGGAAGACAGAGAAAGAGGAAGTGTACCTTCAAGCTTCATTATTAATAAGTCACCAAATCTTCATAGGCAAATCCAAAAAGTCAGGTGATTTAAAACACATTTTCCACTGGGATTCTTTGAACACAAAATGTAAGTCTTTAGGATCCAGAACAATTGATTATCTTTTTTTTTTCCTTGCAAAAGATTTTTGTTCTCTGACCTCACCCATCCTCAGGAAGGTCTCCTAATACATTTCAAACTGGAGTAAAAGGCAATGAGAAATCTGAGAAGTGTAAACATTAAAAAGAGAGAGATTCATTTTGAATTGTGTCTGTGGAATCTGGATGTGGATAATCTAAATTAAGAGTGAAGTCAGTGTTGGGGCTATTTTCTGACACACATGTACATTTCTTTTTGATTTCATATGAAATCATTCCATTCTGAGTCTTGAGCCCCGGACCAGGAGAAAGAGCAGATTGGTCAAGTGTCCCTATAGAACAATAACCTTAACATTGAGTATAGTAGCCTTACTATAGTCTGCTCAGCAAAGAATCAACCCTGGCCTGGAGTGACTGTCTCTACAGGAGGAGACAGTTGTTCAGTCTCTGTCATCTCTGTTATGACGGTCATTTGTGATGAGTGACGATGCAGATCAACAGAGAGACAATCAACTCAATGCCTAAAGAATCGTAAAATACCCATATGGTTATTGTTGCAGACACAGAGCATGATCCAAAACCTTTGTCTACAGGCTTACATTAGCCTGTACCTTTGACTTTCAAGGAATGCTTTATCAAGACCTTAAAGCAAATAAAGATAAGAAACCATCTGATCAGTGAATTAACTGTGTCTGAGGAGCCAATGCCCAGACACTAAAACTCTGGGCTTGCCTTTGTTATTCTGTAGCATTGCTCAGTTCTCTACCCACAACATGAGAAGACAGCCAGGCAAATTATTGAACGAATAGTTTCACAGGAACCATGGCACCAACAAACTGGGCTTGGATGCTGATCCTGTCCTATCATGTCCCTTCCCTGACACCAAGTGTCAAATCATCTTGCAGAATCTGCCAATGCCTATTTTGTAACAGACCCAACCATCCAGCCCCCTCGTTCTGACCTGCCACATCGCTCTGAGTAAAGCTCAACTGCTTCAACTGTGTAGTGATCAGAGGTGCTGCTGCTAATGACTATAAGTGGGGCTTCTGTGACTTCTTTGTTGCTGTGGCCATTTAGAAGATGCAGGCTGTACACTTGCAGGTTGCACTTACTGGCAAAGTCTGCCCGGTTCCCTCATGGACTTGTGTAACCTTCTTTAGACTCCAGTATGGTTAAGACACTTAGGCTAACACGCTTGACTTGATCAGCTGCACAGCTGCAATTGCTGTATTATCTATATACACATATATAATGCTGCAGTGTCATACCAGGGTAGAACCACTACCTGGAGGTTAATGTGCTTGAGCAAACAAGCAGGTAAGTAGCAGCTCAGTAAAGAAACTACTGAAGTTTATTACTCAAGAAGACTGTTGCTCCTTCCCTCTTCCTGCTCCCAGACATTAAAGTGACTTGAATTTTGTCAGACCAGCTGTGTACATTTACAAATACTTAAAGTAACATGGATTGACAGAACGACATACTTCAGGAAGACTTTCTGCAGAGGATGCCAAAGATTATTTCAAAACTTACAACATTTATCAGACCACAGAATCCTAACATCCGTGTATTAACCCTTTAGCTAACCCCCTTCCACACCAACAAGTGTATTGAGTTCCCTTTTCAAAGCCTCCTCTTTTTTCCATCTTTTTACTTTGTCCAGAGAAAAGTGACAAAGGTTCCACAAAATTGATCCAGGTTCATGGCAACACCAATATCTCACCAGAAGGAAAACTAAGGATTCTTCCCCTATTTGTCCAAAAGGCATGTGAAACACTCAGTTATGCAAAACAAGCGACAACCTCCTCCCCTGGTGCAGAAACACCAAAACTTATGTAACTCTGCAACTAATCTTCGGTAATCTTGAGTGAGGCATTTAAATCCAGGGAATAAGCCTATTTTTTTCCCAAGCTTATCAGTAGAACAAAAAAAGAGAAGAAAAGGGAAGCAAAGTCCAGCCAGTGTTCTAAAATTTGTTTCATGTGAGCAGTGTCCTGACTTTCTTCGGGTAGCAAATTCTCCTGCAGTGCAATTTCCTATGCATGGCTGAAGAACATTAAAAGAAGAGCTGCTTCAGGGTTTGAATAGGACTCACAGCAGAGCCATGGCAATCGCTACCCTGGCTGTGTATCATTCCCTTGTTTTTGTCTGGTATGTTTTTGTAACTTATTCAATCTCACTCGTAAGAGCAGAAGACCGGCCGTCTGAAGTATTCCTTTATGGTAGGCAGTGGAAATATTTGACAGTTCTCAATCTGGTAAGCACATAGTATACTGTGGTACCAATCTGTCTATTTGTCTGTCTACCATCTGTGCCTCAAAACATATGCAGCTGGTGTATTTGCTGCTGTGATACTGCTTTCTTTTATGGTTTGTACCCCAAAGGAAACTATGTAGGTATCCACATTTGTGTTGTTTATGCATAAAATGTATACTGTAGCTAGTTGCCTCATTATAAAGAGACAAGTTAATTGGGAGAAGGAATGAAATGTAGAATATGTACAGGAAGGATGTACAGCTTTGAACCATATTATCTAACCCTGGGAGTAGAACAGTTATCAAATATTATAAGTATATTCAGCACGCAGTAGTAGCTATGCAGTGCTAATTATAGTTCTTCCAATGGGATTTTACCTATTACAAAACAGACAAGCAGCAAAACAAAATAAGGGGAGGCACTAGCTAATCATTGTATGTACTTAATTACAAATTGTTTAGGGGGGAAACATTTTAAGTCACAAGGGCTAAAAAGAAATGCAGAAATATGTGCAATATTATCGCATGCATTTCAAGGAGTGTGATCAGTGGTTTGCTCTGTTTCTTAGAATTACATTAGGATGTACTGACAATAATATATTTCTGCATCACACATTATTACTAATGGCACAGCATTACTAAGCGAATGAAAACATATGTCATGCTGCTCATGGGACAAAACTTGGTCCAAGTAACCAGCCCAAGTATCTGGGCTGCGACGTGAGGATTTCTATAGGTAGAATAGGGGCTTGTGGAGAGGATTCCAACTGAGCTGTTGCTTTGGAAATGGAACCATTTCAGGGATATTCGTTAGCCTTGAGGCTGACAAGAGAAATCCTTGCATTCCCTTTGTACCCAGCCTGTGGTGCATGGATTTGCAAAGCAGTGGAACCTCCAGACCTACCATGCCCATCCTTATCCCTAGAGGACCTCTGGATGATACTACTCTGGGAGTCACCACACAATAGAGGGCACAGTGGTCTACATTAAAGCAGCAGTGCCCAACCGCCAGGCTGTAAACCACTGGCTGCGGCAGCTCTGGGGACCGGTGCTTCTGCCAGTGTTGGAAGAGGTGTATCCTGCCCCCGCCTTTCAGCCAACCAGCACTAGGCAGCAGCAGGGTCTCCTCCTGGACATGGAAGAGTGGTTTGCTGTGTGATGGGAGGGCCACGTAGAGCCCGGCATGGCAGCTTTAGAACGACTGCAACGTGGGCAGCAACACTAAGCTGGGAGGCAGCATAGGGCTAGGCGAGAGGGGCCAGGCAGGCACTGGGGGCTTCGTGGGGCTAGGATAGTGCTGTGGGGCTCAGAGTAGGGGGAGCTAAGAGACAGGGGGCTCTGGGGAAAGGACTAATATTGGGGACTGGCAGCTGGCACTGGGGAGGGACTCCGGGGGGTTGGGTGCAGTAGGACTCTGAAAACAGGAGGCTGGCACTCGGGAATCTGGTGATGGGTGCTCTAAGGGGTGGAAGGGCTGGCACTGAGGTGTTTGGGACGGGGGCCTAGCACTGCAAATATGTAAATAAAAAGTTACTGGTTCATCAAAAGTTTGTGAATGGTCCACAGTATAAAAAAAGGCTGGGAACCTGTGCATTCAAGCCCTTTTTTAGCCTTGGCACTTCAGGGTAAGGATTTGTCTCTTCTGTGTCTGTGTGAATAATCAATGTGAATAGTTACTGCTGTGGCTACTAATAACCAGAAGCACGATCTACCCAGGGGCTCCTGGCTCACTGGATGGAAACAGGCTGTAGTCACCACCCTGGGACTTGCTTAGGAGCAGGAGAACATGTCAGAAGTTCTGCTCTGGGGCACTTGAGCTTTCTGCTCTGGGTGTGGGCATCAGCAAATAAAGACTAGGAGACTGTTCAGAGATTCTGCAGCCTTTTGAAATAGAACTATGGCTCCTCAAAGGATACTAAGAACTGTCTCTTGGAACTAAAGTTGGCTGAAAACATTCAGACCAGTTTTCTGTCAGAAAATGCTGATTCAATGGAATCGAAACATTCTGAGGGAACATGTTGATTCTGGTGGACGTTTAAAGTGAATCCAAGCAGGCAGGCAGACTGGTCAGTAGGCCAACTTGGTTTCCTGCCTGTGCCCCACCCCCTCTTCCCACAGTCAGCCGGCCAAGTGGTGAGCTCATCAGGCTGCCTGGGATCTCTAGCACCCCATCCAGTTGCCCAGGTTCCTAATAGCCAGCTTGCCAGCCTGGAAAAATATCACAACGTTTCCTTTTGGTCCTTCTGAAACAGACTTTTTTTTTTAAATGTCCATTTTGATCTCTGGCTTTTTGTTAAGATTTAGAATGAAAAAAAAAAATCCAAAATTCAGAGTTGTCCATGCCACGGAAATCCTTGGTCCTGAACAGCTTGGCTTGGAAACACATACTTGCTTTTATGTCTGCTGCTCTTTTAGCAATTTCTCCACATTCACACCTACTGTGTGAGCCTCCAAAAAGCCAGATTCCAGCTCTCACATACCACTTCAAATCCACCTACTCGCTATTTGTTGCAGTCAGAGCCCCTGAAAGGAGAAAGCATAGGGCAGTGTGGCACAAGAGGAGAACAAAAGCTCAATGTTAAAGATTTCCTTTCGTCCATTCCTGAATTGATAGAAGAGACTATTGGACAGATAAGAATAGTTTTACATCCATTATTGTGTGATATGAAACATACATACATTCTAAGTTCTTTGGGGCTCTTTTTGTTCTGTTTTTGTACCATGCCTCATACAACAGATCCTGGGTCCATGACTCAAGATCTTAGTTGCTACTTCCATATGTAAGGGGACTGTTACCCCTTACTAAAACTCTGTGGGAGTTTTTTGGTTTACCAGCTTCAGAAGGGGAAGGGTTCATGAGACTGACAGACCCCAGAGACAATGGAAAGCAGTCAACACTCCAGCTCAGCCTGACTGACAGGTTGTAAGTGGGGATTGTTCTGGCTCTGTCTCTGAACAAACAAGCTGTGTGCAGAAGAGGTCCTGCAAAGACAGAGAGCTGAAAGAGGAGTACAAGAAGAAGTCCTGCAGCGACAGAACCAGACACAGACAGGCCAAGCAGTGCAGACCCTGTGTTGAGCAGCAGACTGGCAGTGCTCAGAAAGCCAAAAGGAACAGAGAAACAACACAAGGAGCTGGAACTGGCCAAGCAGCACAGCCTGCAGCTGGATGTGGTGAGCTACTGGGACCTGCAAAGTGTGGGGAAAGGCTCTGGACTGGGAGAGGGGTCTGGCCACTTAGAGACTGAGGCTGTGTGGTCACTGCCAGTGCAAGTGTGTCCAGCCTGCAGCCCCTTGCAGCACATCCAGGGCTTCTAAGGAAGAGACTGTGAACTGTCCTTACACTCTGCAGACTGCTGTGTTGATGTCCCTGTGCTACAGAGCAGGGCTGTGTGTTCTCATTTAACCATTCTCATTGTTTCTTATTCTATTCTCTTTAATCAGTTGATGTTTAATAAATTGTATTTGCTTTGAACCTTATGAAGTGATCACTGGGCCAAGAAGGCCTGCAGTGTAAAGAGAGCACCTCGGAGTGGGGACACCCTAACTCCTGCCCCTAGTGACTACAAGGTCAGGGATTAAGCCCCAGGAAACCTGGGCCCAGCCTTGTTGGGGTTTCAAGGGCTCTGCTACTCAGGAGAGTGGAGGGGGAGCCCTCAGGATCAGGGAGCCGTGGGGTAAAGGAAGTGGGAGCGGGGACTCAGATCCTTTCGCTGGTTCATTTCACCGGGGTGTATAGAAGCCAGGAAAGTTCCCCACAAGAGCGGGACCATTCCCCCGCTTACACATACAATTAATAATGCAGCATCCAGAATAAGTTATTGCTACCAAATCTTTCCATTTATCACATAAAAAAAGGTTTGTTGCATACACACAAGATGAGTTCTTCATAAAGAATATCCCTCAATGCAGAACATCTGAATACAGAAATTTGCATTCACAAACACCCCTCCCAAATTTCATTCATTACATGGAGCACTCATTTGCATATGCAGCATTCTCATTTGCATTTCCTCTTCCTTTCCCCTTTGTGCAAGAGGGTTTGGCGCAAAAAAGTGCTGTGTAGACGGCTCCTTTTTGCGCAACAACCCCCTTTTGCACAAGAACCGTTCTTCCTCTAAAAAAATGAGGAAGAACAGCTCTTGTGCAAAGAGGCGCCATCTACGCAGCGCTTTTTTGTGCAAAAGGAAAAGGAAGAGGAAATGCGAATGAGAGCGCTGCATATGCAAAAGAGTGCTCCATTTGCATTTGCTCTTCTGCAAGAGGCTTGTGGTAGAGACGTAGCCCATGGCTACTGCAGCTCCAGCCAGCACAGTTGGGGGAAAGGTGCATATCCCCTGTCTGGGGCAAGTCCCAGTTTGTCTGCCTCCTGCGCTCCTCACCCAGAGTGAGGAATGCAACAAACTGTGCACTTTCCCTTGCTCCCTGACGAAGGGGAACAGCCAGCTCCCAGTATGGGAGGGAGCTTCAGTACCACTTATCTCCTCTAGGGGGGACCTGGGGATTGGGAAACTCAGCAATGGGGCAGTCCCAGCCAGCCCCTGTCAACTGCCTAATGATTCTGTCTCTTTTCTTTATTGGTTTTCTGAGAAGCAATCCCATCCCAGGCACATCCCATTGTCTTGGCACAACCAAATCCTTTCCTTAGGATAAGAGGAAGCTGCATACCCATTTTGGTGGTCTTAGCTCTTAATGTTTAGGAGGAGTTCTTGAACAAACAGACCAACAGACTCTGTCAAATATATGGTAGAGTAAACAAACGCCATGGGCACTATTTACGACTATCAGTTTGGGAATGAGATATAGTCACGTAGCCAGATGGTGTCTTTGAAAATGAACCACAGGAATAAATAGATGGAAATACTTGCTTTGATCTAATTAGGTGAATTTGATTTTTGCTGCTGATGCCTCCTTAGTTGATCCAATCTGTCGGGCCAAATTATATGCATATTGTTAATGAAACACATCCTGTCTGTCTGTACATAAGCAGTTCTAAAGCACTT